TCAATATTAAAATTCATATATGGAATTAATGTATTTTTAAGATTATCAAGTGATTTTTTGCATTCCTAAACATTTTGCTATACATTCTGAATAATAAGGACTCGTTGATATATCCAGTCATTTAATTATTCTAATGATGCTAACTTGTTAAGATGTTGACTATGATTAGGTAAACAAAAATGACAATAAGGTCTTTAATGTTGACATATACTCTCGATACAAATACCCAATATTTGATAATTGAGATGATCAACTTTAGTACATCTAATCTACATATATCAAATGTAATAAAAATTATATTTAAATATTAAATAATTTTTTTAATATAATTATATATAACCAAANAAAAAATTTTTATCTAATTGATTGAATTCTTTGATTATTATTATCAAATAAAATAAAATAATTATTATAAATATTAGGATAATAAGCAAGTTCAATAAAATAATCTATTTTATCTGTTCATAAATATTATAATCTATTCTGCATAAGTTTAGATACTAATAATCAGATGGAAAATAGTTTAATAGAAAAATCTTATTTAATATAAATTTAAAGATAAATTTTATAAGATAATCGGATGTTGCTTTGAAAAATTAAGATAAAAAGCAAATAATAATATCTTTAAGAACTAAGTTCAAAAAATAGTCGATAGATAGGAAATAAAATCAAACTCTAAAGAAATAATTTAAATACTTGTTGCTCTCTCAGAATCTTCTTTGATTATGAAGTCTAAAAAATAAATATATAATAGAGAATTAAATTTAATAAAACTAAATTTACTGATTTTACGAAAAAACTTTAATGAGGCACAATAGGAGGAATCAATATCTTATCTAAGTCAAAGATTGGATTGAATCATTTCTAATTGAAAGTAGAATCTCGTTCAAAAATTGGGGGATACTTTTATTAATCGTAAAAACTATTCAGATGAGAACTAGGTAAGTTTCCGATCATTTAGGAAAGATTGGAAAAATGATATTTTTTGGGAGGGAGTATCTCAAAGAATCTAGATTTGGTGACTCTGTATTTATCTTTTGAGTATGCATTTAGAAATTTATTTTTTGTATTTTCAACAGCCAATGTCGTAGACATGAATGAATTTAAAAAAAGATGATTAGAATTGATTGGTAGTTATCAAGCTCAATAGTTTCAGATGGATAGTAAAGCTTTAATGAATAATAAAAAAGTGAAAATAGATAATTTTACAATTGATGATTTTGAGAAGGTGAATTTAGCTGGTTGAAAATTAATAATAGGAAATTTGGCTAATTTAATAATTCTTTTAGGATTGATACCTATTATGCATAATTCAATTATATAATATAAGAAATTATTAAATTAAAAAAATTTCATACTCACAAACATTTACGTATTTCAATCTCTTCTGATTATAAATTATCAAAATTATAAATTTCAAATTAATTTGGTTGCTAGTATATTTTTCAAACGAGAGGAAGTCAGTAAACAGCAAAAAATCATTTTTTGCCTAATAGTT